ATGCCTGTTACCAGCTTCTAACATAAAGTTGCCATCCAGTTGTACAAAATGATGACTAGGCCAACCGTCTATTACATGTCGTGTTTGTGTGTATTTTTGTCACTCTGAATAAGTCCATATAATAAACAGAACATTAAACGGTTGCGAGAAGATATGGATTTAATATGTTCTCGTGTCAAAAACAATATCTCACTCGTTCGCTGCGCTCACTCGTGAGATATTGTTTTTGCCACTCGAACATAAAATCCATATCTCTTCGCAACCGTCTAACATCCTCTATATATTTAGACATGAAAGATAATGATATTTTGCTAATGATATTTTGCATACGAGAGCGGTTACCACCTTGTGAGCAAGCTGCTCCATTGGCATGGGAGTAATATTTAATAAATTAATTAAAGCACGCGAAGGAGTATTTATCATATTTAACAATTGTAAGAATCAGAGAAGTGTAAGAGCAAGAACCTTAATTTGTTCTTAAATTTCCTGTACCTAATACCTATGGTCTCGCCTCCTATAGTTATATTTTACTGCAAAAATTTACATCGCGTTCATATAAGGAAGCGGGCTGGCCAGCTTGGCGAGATCCCGGCTGTGATAGCCGATTAGCCGAGATAATGGATATCTATGCATGGCGGGATGAAAATTGACCATATATAGACACGGCTGTCCGCTTACCGGGATTTAAGCCTGGTTCACATATATGCCTGCGACGAACCGGCGACGATGCCGGTGGTAGCTTAAAACGTAAATTATGTGAATATTTGTTCACCGATTGCCTCCAGTGCCACAGTTACATCGGCGGTAGGCCGGGAAAGTTGACTTGAGTTCAACTTTGCCGGTATTTCGGCGGCAAGTAGAGGCATAATGATACAGTCGCAGGCATACCGCAGGCATATGTGAACCAGGCTTAACTTTCAGATTTTCCCGTTCAATTTAACGATTTTACAGTTAGGTTTATGTCTGTTTTATAATGCCAAAATTTCGTGTTGCACTTCCTCAAAAATCTAAACAAATCTTCCAAAAATTGTGAAATCCCGCCAAAATTTTTAAAATCCCCAAATTTTCGTACGCACAAAATAACAAAAATCCCTTGAAATGCCAGCGTATGAGTAGTGAGTACCGTACATCTGGCGTATAGCCTAGAGGATGCTTATCGTATAAACCATACGTCCGAATACGCACAAAATTTTTAAGCATCATGATTAAAACTGACATGTTTCTGTCTCGCCGTATGCCAGCGTATGCGATCGCGTGCTTCAAACGTATACAACCTATGCCTATATAACGTACCCCTAGCGTATGTCAGGGTATACCAGCGTATGAGTGATATTTTTCATACGCTGGCATACGCCAGTACGATATGCAATAGAGCGTTTGCACATGCATGACGTCACAGCCGCCATGTGACCGTTCCAATTCAAAATAATTTTAATTAGACTCTTGTCTGGAACACCAACATGGCCGCCATGCTTTTGTTGAGTTGGCCTCTGGGGAATGAGTGCAAACGCTCTACAGTATAGTGTGACAGGGCCTTAAGCTTGTACTTTTATCTACAAACGGAACACTTTTGCCCCCATATGGGTTTTGAAAGAAAATATAGATCATAGAGGCAGATTAGATGCAAGCACTCCCACTATACATTACTTAAATGTGATGACTTTATAATGTGGATAAATAAGCATATTTTGCATTGACAGTTTTTTATTTTTCCTAAGTCTTATGTTCCCACAAGTTGGTTTCCTCTTTTCGTGTGAATAATAAAACTATATAACTTTCTCAAAGCCACGAATACTTCCAACATATACCTAACCTATTAATGTACAACAACAAAAGTGATACACTATATATGTATTACTATATGTATACGTAGTGCTTATAGTCAGTGTTTGGATTCTCCAGAGATTAAATTTGATAACTTGTTACTTCTTACTCGTCCGTGAATGTGGTGAACTGATCACTGACATTTGTTCGTATTTTTACTGAAAATGAGAACTATATCTGAACTAGTTTATGACAGACGATGAAACGGTGATGTTGGAATTAAATTTTAGAATTGAAGCTTGACTTCATATGACATATGGGAAATGCTGTTGATTTATCAGTTCTGTTGGGTCTCTGCCCAGCTGCGCATGCAGCCGCGTCAGAACGTAATTAAGGTTATATGTTATTAATAACCTCTCAATAAGCCGGAGCTTGGCACGTATGCATACATCGAACACGAGTTAAAAATGGATGAAAACATGAATAAATCTGTTGTAGTCGTGGAAAAGAACACGTTTGATTGCATAGCACTTCGTGAAGAAACAACACAACCTCGCGAGAATCGTTCATCAACTCGTAGTGAACACGCCACTATGATTTCACGGCATTTGCAAGAGGATAAGTCGAGTTTGTATAGCGTAAGTTTACCGCAGCAAACGGGAATTAGCGACGATGCTTCTATAAGAGAAATTACAGAACAATGTGAGAATTATGAAGGTGGAATTTCTCAAGAAAACCTTGCTTTGCTTCCTAAACAACGCCGTCACGGTGTCGTTAAAAGCGATGAATCATCGGATCAGAGGCAACGGAAGATAGGAATTGCAGAAAACAAAGAATCCGTGTCGGACAGGACATTTTTAAGAGTACTGCACAAGAAATTTTAAGTCTTCAAGATAGAACAATTATGCACAATGTATGTATCTTCATTTGAATAATTTTTAACGAGGGATTCTTAGCCGCAGTGTCTTTGAAGTATATTGACCTGTTAATTAATTTACAGCGTCCGGATCAACGGCCAACCGTTAAAGAAATGTCGTATTTTCCAAGGAAGCTGTTAATGCTGTTTGTGCAGGGATTCTAGTATAGGAGAGGCTAAGTCATTGTTCAGTATCCGATTTATTTGTTACTTTTTTGGCATTACGTCAGTGTAAAGATACTGTACACATCCTCTGCCAGTCATTGTGGCATGAAATATGGCTCTGTACTGAATGACGTGTTATAAATAATATGTATATAGTGTAAAATGTTGGTGTATTCTACTTCCATGCATCATTTTAAAATTTAACAAGTTAGTTTCGAGAAAGTGTAGCAACTGCACTACGCTTTAGTTCTTACTGTAGTAGTAAGTCGTTTGAGTCACTTTTAGTATATGACTGTGTTTCAGAAACGAATCCTTGTCTTTACTTACTGAGATATGTGAAAAGTAGGGAATACAGTAATAGAGTTAAGCCTGGTTCACATATGCCTGCGACTGTATCATTATGCCTCAACTTGCCGCCGAAATACCGGCAAAGTTGAACTCAAGTCAACTTTCCCGGCCTACCGCCGATGTAACTGTGGCACTGGAGGCAATCGGCGAACAAATATTCACATAATTTACGTTTTAAAGCTACCACCGGCATCGTCGCCGGTACGTCGCAGGCACGTCGCAGGCATATATGTGAACCAGGCTTAAATGTATATATCTGTCAGTACAATGTTAATATAAGCACATTTCTAAGCTTACTTGAATTATACATACATTATAGTTTAATTTTATGCGGTCTTTTAAAATTGCTATTGAATTGGGAAAATATCGCAATTAGACTCTTCAAATGATATATTAATACATAATTATTTAGCGAAAATTTTTGCAATGTTTCTTGTCCTGAAGTGTGTTTATTAATATAATATGCGGTGGGGCAATATTAATATAATATGCGGTGGGGGTCAAAAGTCTGAGTCCAATCAATATGATTTTGCCTTTTATTGATATACAATATATTCTACACAACACACCACAGCCACCACTACTCACTAGCTATATGTGCGTCGATTGAGTATACTACATTAGCCAAGTGATCATTATTTTAGTATTTTGCGTGTCCTCCGTTTGATTTTAAACAGCTTCAACTCTTCCTGGCATAGTCATAGATTCAACAAGTTTTCTTATAGTATTGATGGTTTAAGGTTATTCCAGCATTATTGATCAACGACATCCCATAGGTTTGTTGTCTTTACTTGTGGGATTATGTTTCACTTTCTCTCGTTTCAAATGTTCCCATGAGGTTGAGGAGGAAATCCATAACAACCAGATCACCTTTCTTTTGCTCCCTAACTAATTAAATCATTTTTACGAAACAAAAATATCACTCCATCCTTCAAAGACAAGTCATGCCATCTAGCTTAAGGTTGTGTGGAAGGGGATTTGTCTTGCAACGCGGGATATAATGATCCGAAACACTTCTCATATGTGTAAAAATTATTTAAGAAGGAAGCAAGAGAAAGGTGATCTGGTTGTCATGGATTTTCCTCCTCAATCATTGGACCCAAATCTCATTGAGAATTTATGGGATCATTTGAAACGAGAGAAAGTGAAACATGATCCCACAAGTAAAGAAAACCTATGGGATGTCCTTAATCAATGCTGGAATAACCTTAAGCCACTGCCTTAAGCCAGCAGTACTTAGAACACTTGTTGAATCTATGCTAGGAAGAGTTAAAGCTATTTTAAAATTAAAAGGAGGTCACACAAAATATTAAAATAATGTTCACTTGGCTAATTATAGTATAATCAATTCCAACGTTGATGTAAATCCTTATTCGACGCACATATAGTTGTAAAAAGCACTCTCACACTTGCTTTTTATATAGTTATTTTAATATAAATAACGCAACATAAATTTACATGTTGTCCGTTTTATCCCAACTAACTTCCGATTGCCCTACACGTGTCTTTTTAATCGTCTCACC